TTCACCGATCTGGGACCCGATCGTCGTTTGGGTCACGTTTTTAGTTGATCACGGTTTATTCTGCCCGTGACAATAGATATTACTGTATTACGTAATTGCATTGCGGATCAAAATTGTCGCCCTGTTACCAATAGATTAACTGGCACCAACATCATAGAAAAGGATTATTTGGCACCGTTATCCCCAACTATGCCTTATTATGAGGATAACGATCTTATACATCGTTATCGTTATTATGCAAACGATCAATAATTACAATATCGATTAACATGATCCTTACAAAGTTAGCTGATTTAACATAACCAATTGAACTTTATAAAGATTATATCGGCATGACCAAGCATCATTTTATAATATTAGGAAATATACAACATAATTAATAAATTATATTTATTATGGTTAGACTAAGCTTTCACGAATAAAAATATTGTTACAAATATACAATAACAAATACAAATTTATATTTAAAAACAGTCCAAATAACAAGTACATTATATGTATCAACAAAAAATATTGTAAAAATTATTCTCTTTTTTTGTAGATTTCCTCATTTTAACAGGAAATACACTTGCTTAATTGATGGATGGATAATAAAATGCAAATATCTTTGACTATTATTAACCCATTAAGCTTTATTCCCTATATTTTCTTCCTTCAATTTATCATATTTATCCGTAAGTTCAAGCCATTTAAATATATGAACAAGTGCATAAATAATACCTATTTATTAGAAAAATAAATATATATATATATATATATATATATATATATTGATAATAAGAAATTTAATATACGAACCGGGAATCATAAAGGCTCCTGTGGTCATTATGCTCTTAAGAAATGAGTTATCCTTATCCTTATCGTCATCAGATTTAAAACAACAGCAACAACCTTTAATACAATCAAAAAATCTTTCCCAAATATACCAGCAAAAAATCATTTTAATTATTTGAAGCCAAACTGGTTCCTTATCTTCCTGTTGGTTTGGTTCTTCCAAATCTTTGATTTTTTTTTTTTAAATTTTCTATCTCCTCCATACTATTGAGTAAGTAAACACAAAAGGGAGGAATGAAAAGTGCCAGCGCAAAATAAAGGAGGAATTCAGAAGGTTTTTTGTTTTTTAATTTGCAACTTTTAATTAATCCAGTCACAAAACTATAGCGATTACAAGCGAACCAAAAGCGATTGGTAATGCAAATTGCAATGTACCCTAAAAATTTACTAATATTAACAATCAGAAATTTCTAAAAAAATGAAAAAATTTTACTTACAAGATCTACTGCCATTGTCTAAATTTAATATTATTAGTAATATAAAATTATACTAAAAAAATAGAAAAAAAAATTTAAAATTTTAATGATTTAAGAGTGAATATATGATAGAAACCATAAAAATTTGACCTTATTTATATGAAAAGTTTTAGAGATTTTGAGATTTGAAAATTATATCTTTTACCAATATGAAAACAACTGTTATTGATATACGTACGTACGGTGCAGGAAATTTAAACCCTTAATATTCTATGTAGAGATGATGCTTAAAACTGGTCAAATTAATTTCCTAAATTATCGATCTCAATAAGCGAAGGGGATTTCTTTGCATAAAGACAATAAGCAAAAATCACAATATATATTGAAATAGCATGCTCCTTTGTTCTATATTAAGTGATTGAAGTTTTTAGGTTTCCTACAATTATACTAATTCCTCAGCCACTAAGCATATTGAGAACTAATAATTCCAAAATTATTAACATCAATAAGGTGAAGAATCTAGAATTTCTCAGTATTTTGCGTAAAGGAAATATACTGTACACTATTCAATGCATATTGTTTAAACTTAAAATTTAGGAGCTATTGAAAGGACAACTTTGTCGCCAACGAATTTGTGTACTTTACTGAATTATTTTCAAGTAATACAGTTTCGAAATAACGTTCATCGGCGTATGTACTTTAAAATTTAGGAAATATTTACTATTTTAAACTCTGTTTAAATACGGATGATTATATTTTTAGCTTTCTTGCATCAGTGTAAGTAGCATGTGAAAAATCAGGTCCAGACTTTAAAAGTCGAGTCTTTATTAAAGTTCGGTCCCAAGCAATCATATCAGTACATGCATCTAATATTTTTATTTAGATATTGTTTCGCAACGAATGCCGAATCCATTTTGAGAATGCACTAGGCAAATTTAAAGTCTGACTTCAAATACTCAAATTTTGAACCTCCCCAGGATCTAGCCTTCACCCTTCTCAAAACGGGTCCTTCCTGCTAATCCTAAGGCCCTCAACTCGACATCTTCCAGGTCTGGTTGACAGATAGCACTTATGCGTCCAAATGATAGGACCTGTGCTATGCCTTATGTATTATCGAGAACTCCTGTGTGTTGGTCTATGTTTCGTAACCTAAGTTACTTCCAACTGGGTTTCGTAGTACAATACTGCTTCCAATTTTCGTCTGAATTGGTTGATATTTTAATGTTGGTGTGCCCTTTGCAATGCAGTTGTGCCCTTGGCGTATGTTGCCATACTACCAGCCTGAATATACTAGTGATATTAATATATACTTTAGCATTTATTGCAGTCGATAATTTAGGAAATACATATAATACGTACGTATGTACGTACAGCACATGCAATACCTGCATATTTTCCAAATATTCGACTTCATTAACATAACTGCATGTACGTACGTACGTACATAAGTAATCCCTAAACAAAGTAAATTGTCTCAATTCCATCTTTCAAGCCCAAATCTCATTATTCTATGTTATGGATTTTTTTTACGGAGAAATCTCAACAATAGACTTTACGTGTTTTGTTACACTAAAATACAAATACGGCTAGATGTGAAAATTTTTCAAAATTGCGTTTTTGATAAACAATGTAAGCTAACTAATAATCTAATCAAAAACGTAACTACCCTATAAAAAAAAAATCTCTTGAAATTGTTCGGAAAATTCTGAAATTATTCGATTTTTTGTTCGAAAAATCGACTCCGTTTCAAACATTTAAAGGATATTTATTGATGAATGCGTTTTTTATACGTTTTTTATATTTTTTTATACGATGATTTCAACCAAAAATTTTCTACTTTTTACATCCCGTACAAACGTCGTTATGAAAACAGTACAAACATAAACCCTGTTTGGAAAATCGACTCAGTTCCGAACATTTTTTTGGACAATGCCTACAATAACTGTACAAACTTCATTTATAGGGCTATTGAAGTAATTTTTGTATTACTTTAACTAAACATTAAATGTCTGCATCTTATTTGGTGCATAGATTTTTTTTTATCCGTTAGAAAAAATGGACTTTAAACACTTTCGTACACTTGGTTACAGTCATCATCATTGTATTGGCGTTAAGAAAGACGAAAAGAAGGCTTTTGAATATTATATGAAAGCAGCTGAACTAGGAAATTCGGATACGTTAAATGATGTTGGTCTTCGCTATTATTATGGAATTGGAGTATAAATAAATTACCAGAAATCATTTGAATATTGTAATAAGTCCACTGATTTGGGTAATGCCATATGAATGAGTAGTGTTGGTTTTCGCTATCGATATGGATATGGGATTATCAAGATTATAATAAAGCATTACCAGGAACGGAGTGTAACGAAGTGCATGGTTATATGGCAAGTGAAAGGGTTATCCGAATTCATGAATCTGATTGGATTGCATTTTCATGTGATTTGTTGTGTTATAATACTTCTATATTTATCAGTTCTTTACATACGTACGTTTATACATACCAATCAAATATTTATTATATGAATATTTATTAACACTATTAACGGAAAAAAATTTTAAGCCCGAATTTATATTGGTGTTGTGTATTTAAAATTACTTAACGTTTAAGTTATTAACAGTTTGATTTATTCATTACAGCCTATGTACCATATGTGGATATTGCATACAAACTAACACTTTGATAATGAATGGACAACTTAGACATTTACAGTCACATAAAATATGGTAATCGTTTGAGCGAAAGTATTTCTTAATACATAAAAAATATCACTAAACTCTTATTAAAAAATACTTTGATCTGTTTACAACTCTGTTAAAGTTGAAAATAATAATTGATTTTTTGATAAAATGATTTCTCATCAATGTTGTATGAGTATGTTCTAAAAATATCCATGTAATTCTTGCAATTTATATTAAATTTATATAAAGAATAATAAGTATCACATCAGAAAATTAAGTAATAACTTATCACCACACAAATATGTATTTTGTAATCTGTGACCACGTGTCATTGGGGTATTTCATATGTTAAAAATCAAGTCTGTATACAGTGCACATCATCTAAAGACATCCAAAATTGTAACTCAATGAATATTTAAAATTTGCAAAAAAAAGGGACACTTGAAGAACAAGGAACCCAGTGATCATCACATTATGAGAAATTACGTCATTTGTTTACTAGCATTAAACAAATTAGCCTAAACTACCCTATCACCTAACCCTAACACTAACTCTAATGTAGGCTGAACACTTAATCATGTGATGTGATTGTCATGAAGATATCACTGGGTTCCTTGACCTTTAAATTCCCCCAAAAAAATGCATTATATTGTAGTCTTATATAAGTTCTACAAAATTACATATTTTTTTCAAATTTTGACTTATTTATTGAGAAGTTATGATTTTAAGAAATATAATATAATTTTAGTATGGCTTTATATGGAAAAAGTGATCATAACATCACCATATAAAGATAGATTTACAAACTATCCATTGATAGTTATTGATGGCATTACAAAAAAAATTTACATATTCCATTAGGTTTCTAGAACAAATAAATTTAGTTTTCTAGAATCTCTGCGTGATAATCATAATGCCATACACACTTGTCCTATCACACTAATATTTTTCTTTTCTTTAACCCAGTGACAAAAAGCAAAGTGAGTTGGCAAACCTTGCCTTAAAATAAAATATTTTTTTAAAATTTTGGTATTTGCAATCTTTTCAATTTTAGAAGCAAACAAGCATCTAGTTGTCAAAAATTCAGTGTTAAAATTACAGTACTTTTCAAATTAGTAAGATCAAACATTACACATCATATAGAATTCTTATTAAAATAGTCTTTTTTTTCTTTGAAGTATCTTGACACCCTCCTAGCTAAGTTTAATGAACTTTTTTTGGGTTACTTATAGACATCAGTAGTATTTAAATAAAAAAAATTTCATCAAATTGGTTAGATAAAGTTTCTATTTAATAGATGTTCAAATTTTTTAACAAATATTTAATTAAAGATATCTCACCAGTGTTTCAGCCTAAACCTTTCTGCAAGTCCAAAATGCTTTGGCTCTAGAGTTTCAGTTTTGCCCAAAATCTGAAACACCAAAATGGCTGAAACTTCTGAAATAGCTAAAATTTCTGAAATGGCCAAAACTTTCTGAACTCAACCTTCCAAACTCTTTATCTTTTAATTTTTTAGAAAGTTTCAGTTCTTTATTTCTTTCTTCAATTTTTTTGTATTTTATATTTATTAATTTTTATACAAAATATTTTAGAAGTTTTACTAATTTCAGAGGCTTTAGCCAATTTCAAAAGTTCTGGTCAGTTTTATGCAATTTCAGAGGTTTTGCTTACTTTTAGAAGTTTTGTCTAATTTTGGAGATTTTGCTTAATTTTAGAAGTTTCACCTAGTATCAGATATAACTTGATGCTTATTCATATATATGTTTTTTATATTGTTAGGGCAGTATCATTTATTACCTGATTTTTTTATTAAAGGCTTACCTCTCTAGTTTTTAATATATAAATTAACAGGTCTTATATATGTTGTGCCCCAGATGCAAATTGGCCCAATTGACAATTGGGCCAATTTGCATCTGGGGCACAACATATATAAAATTTCAATTTTTTTAAACCCCCTCTAGAAAATCACCTGATAATTGTCAGCTCCTTTACTATTGAATTAGGTGAGTGTTAGCTAGAATAGTACCAACATAGATTAGGATAGTAAACTAATAATAATTATAAGAGCAAAAAGGTGTTTATCTAAGGTGTAGAAAATTATTTTAAGAGTGGAGGGTAAAGTGAATATTGTTGCTAATATTAAACAGGTGGAGGTCTAATTAGAATAAATAGAAAACTAGGTGAATTTTAAGGTATACATATAATAGTTTTAAGATATACATATAGTAGAATTAGTATATGCAAACTAACTAATTAATCCCAATTGTCTATTGTTAACAATTCAAAACAGAATTGATTTAAGGAATAATGAAAAAATATTAGAATTATTAATAAATTATGTATAAAAACATGAA